GGGCGCGGCGGCCTCTGCGCGCGCGGTGGAGGGCTCCTTCTTCCGGTCTTCAGGTTTTTTCTGGCAAATTGGTGATTTTTCTCGGCTTTATTGAAAGGTTTCGTTCTCAGCCTTTCCCCGGGAAGGACTTAGCCAGGCTGAAAAGTGGCGATGTGAGATACGAAATCTGCCCCGTGTTCAAAACAGACAAACAGATGTCTGCTTCCAGACAATTGCTGCTACTAGTGTTGACTAAGTTACACCCAAGTACTAAAACCTCTTGAACGGACAATGCAACTGACGTTTTGTTGGTACTTTTTACAGGGGACACCGCAAAAGGATGTTATAATAAAACCCGATGCCCCAAGCACATTACTTTCGGAGAAACATGCGGACTATATAGCTTCGTATGGAACAAAGAAAGATGATTACGTAGGTATTGATTTGTTTCAGTACAGCTGTGGCTTTATTAACAGAATAATAACCCCAGTTTACTTGCTCAGAGTTAAGGGATAGATGCGTGCCCACAAGCTAGTTGTTTCTTGCCCTACAGTCCAAAGGATGAAAGATGTCTTTGTTAATTTCCCTAGGTCTGTGATGAGTTTTGGCATGTATTATCTGAGTATGAATTTGAAGATTACCAGTTTAGCTCTAGAATTACTCTGAGACCTGGGAAAGAACTACTTGTTGCTTCTTCATCCACTAGAATGCACAAGGAGTACAGCTGCATTTACATGTTGCTCTTTTGATGGGACAACGTACTGAATCTCCCCACAGCACTGCTTCATGCTTACTGGGTTTGATAAACACTTTAACTAGCACCAGTTTTATAGTCATAGGTTATCAGGCGTAGCCCACAACAATAGGATTCTAGTTCTAGCAGGTGAAAAATGTCAACTCCTTATGTCTGAAGAAGAGAAAAGTTGCAGTTATCTTTACTGTCCGCTAAAGAACTCTAAGCACTGTTGCTTACAATTGTTGTTCTTGTGCTTAAAAAGTACTGCATGTAGAAAATAATGTTTATGGGTAGTGTAGGTGATGTAATCAGTGTAAGAGAATTCAATATGAGATTTCACTTCCTAGTGCAGCTTTAGATTGTGGCTGTTTTGCCACCCGGAACTAAGTTTCATTAAATGTTAGACTTGCTAATTTTGAGACTATTTGGGGTGGTAATTTGAGTGGTAGTTTGGATGCCAAGATAATAACTGATGATCTGAAGTGCATTGGTGCCTAACTACTTGTATTTGACATTGGGCTTGATACTTCCGAACTAGAAAATACAGGGGAGGAAGGGAATGTGGGATGTGTAGATATATACATGTGCATATACCTGTATGTGTGCATGTGTGTATACACAGAACAGAATATTTGTGAGTGGCTGATATATAGTAAGTTGTTAATGGGATGGAAGATGGTTGACATATTACAAACTGTTTGTAAACGTTAACTAATGTATTTTCATTGCTCTATATTGATGATGTGCTTGTCTGATTAAGAACTAAAATAATGCACTACTTAGGAATACTGTATGTCGGAGTATTTGAGGATGAGTGGTGTTTACTGGGGGCTGACAGCAATGGATCTCATGGGGCAGCTGCACCGAATGAACAAGGAAGAAATTCTGGCATTCATCAAATCATGTCAACATGAGTGTGGTGGAATAAGTGCCAGCATAGGTCATGATCCTCATCTTCTGTATACCCTCAGTGCTGTCCAGGTAAATGTAACAGGGTAATTTTAGAAAAAAACATTTCTAATTAATGATTTTGATGATTGCAGATTTATGAACCAGGTACTGTTGGATGCCAATGGCAAAAACTATTTCAGTACCTTATTAAAAAAAAAATCTGATGGACAAACCTTTAGGATTTAGCTGTATCATTTCCTAAAAAATTGTCAGGTTTGGGAACGTTGTGCTTTTAATGACCGTTTAATGGTGACTGCATTCTTGATAAATTTTGTAACAGTCGTCTTGAAATAGTTCTTAGCTACAGGTTTCACTGGAGTATTTTGTAGATAATTTTGGGTTTTATAAATTCTTCTTAGTGTACTTTGAGGTGAAAGATATGTATGACCAGAATAAGAGTAAAGTTTTTTTATTTTATTTTTTAATGGATATATTACTATATATTATGATTGCTATACACTATAACATATTAATAAATGATTATGTAATATTTATATAAACTATATATTTATGTAACGTGTGTAATTATGTGTAGTGTGTTTATATTTTACTACTGTACAAAAGAAACATTGTAGTAGCCAGTTCTTGTTGTGTTCCTCAAATCTGCTTTTTTGTGTATACCTTAAAAATCATGCCAGTCTGTTGAGCATTTTATTTATTTGTTAGGTGTGTGCTCTTCCCCTGAAAAAAAAGTAATTCTCAATCTTATTTTTCACCATAACTCTCGCCGTTATAGATTTAATTTCTCACTACCTCTTGTGTCCTTTTTTTTTTATGTTTTGGTTTTAGGTTTTTTGTTGTTGTTGTTTGTTTGTTTTCTCCTTCTCATGCAAACCATCGTGGAAAAAAATACTGAAAAGGCTCAAATGCTTCTGAACAATTGCTTGATTGCTTGCACAATGTATCTCTAATCCAATCTTGTGGAAGAAACATTTAAATGGTGTTACAAATAAATAAGATAGCATCCTGTTTTAGGAAGAAAGTGTGTTGGATTTAAGGTGTTGGATTTGAAATCCTTAGGTAGGACAGAAGAATGCTGTTTTCTTGGGTCAGTGGTGAGTGTTGGCATGTGTTATCTGCTCTAAAGTTGATATTTATCACCACTTTAGCTCTAGAATTACTCTGAGAACCAGGAAACTAAAGTTTCTTTAGGCTATGATGTTTGAGCTTTTCCAAACTGTCCAATCAAAGTCCTTTCACAAATTCTAATCCAGTATAAGGAGAAGGGGGTACAATTTGAGGTTGTTTACTTTTACATATTAGAGATCTTAATTCCTCAGTAAATACTTGATGTTACTAGGAGTTATTTTCATGTTAACTGAATGCAGCTGTAGATGTGCGAAGTTGAAAAGTGTTAGCAAGTGTCAATGTAAAATTTTTGGGGTAAACTTAACCAGCATGTCTTAACGAGCATGCATGTTCTTAGTGAACAAACACCGTTTCGTCCTATCTACATATCCAGAATGTTTAAAGGGTCATGTCACATCTTTGATCACAATTAATAGTAATGTGTTCAGATTTGCTTTTTAAGGAGCATACTATGATTATATATTTTCTGTTGGAGTTATACACTCTTTTTCGCATTTCTGTAAGACTTAAATTTTATCTAACAATTGAAAGATTCCAGCTAACTCTAGGTGTTCAAAGACATAGTTGTTGGTATTTTTCAGGATTGGCACTATAATGTTGCTTAGTTTCAACTGTTCTTTCTATTATGCTATTTATAATAAATTCTTACTTACTCTCTTTACAGATTATGCAAGTTATGAGTAAAAACACAAAGCCAGCTGAGGCTTAGAAACCGTATTGTTGTTTTCACATGACATTGTGTCGCATGGGTTTACTGGTTCAAATCAGTGCTAGCTCAGAAAACCTTGTATTCCCTACTATGACCTTTATTTTTCTTCCAGAATATATTGACTGTACAGTTTGTGTCTAATCATACTGTTCATACTTTTTCTTAAATTATTGCAGTTTGGTTCTACTCATTATATTTAAAAATGGAATGTAAATAAAAATCTAGTAATTCAAAACTAACCATTGCTGACAGGCTTGACTGTGAGTGGTATTAGTAACTAGCTGCTTAACTTACACTTGCACATATCCAAGTAGCAGCAGTGCACAAACTACAAATTTGTAAGTCTAGGATGTCATTATCCCATTACAAAATTAACCATAATCAAATCTCTGTTCTATATAATGCTAACATAAAAACGAATAAACCCGATTATGCTTTTGAAAGGAGAGCTGGAAGTTGGAAAGTAACAACGCATGAAAGTTCAGCTTGAATTGCCTATATTTTCATTTGAGAATTTCTTAGTTTTTAGACAGAGATAGATGAACTGCAGTGAATGAAATTTTATGTTAATAAACCTTACCAAATAGTATTCACAGTCAACTAAATAAAGTCTTTTATAAATCTAGGAAATTTTTTTTTTTTAAGAAATAAATTTTTAAAATTTTTGCCTCTCTTTGATTGTTACTGTGTCTTTTTTTTCCAGATTCTTATCTTATATGATAGTCTCCATGTTGTTGACGTAAATAAAATTGTTGAATATATACAGAACTTGCAAAAAGAAGATGGATCGTTTGCTGGAGACAAATGGGGTAATTTTTAGGTCTTTAAAATGTAGTGACCAGGTTGACATGTGTAAGTCTGTGAACTTAAGTTTCCTTGGATGGTCTTTTTGCTTATGTATTGTATGTGAACACTTTTATTTTTTTTTATTTCCTTCCGAAAAAGGAGGTTTTCTGAAGGACAGAGTTGTGTTTCATTCCTTTCATAAATATTCTAAACTTCAGTTCCATTCTTGTATTAAAAATAAATTGTCCAGCTCTTAAAGACGATGACCTTGGGGCATTTGTAACTTGACAGTACTCTGATATACTAGATGTACTATTCCATAAGGAATGTTTTATGCCTGCTATTTAATGGCAGTTATGATCTTCATCCTCGTCAGCTGGATCTTTCACTGTATGGGAATCAGAAAACCTGGTTTTGTACTCGCGAACTTCTGTTAATACTGACTTTGTTTCTGCGCATAAATTCTTTATGAACAAAGATGGTATTTTTAAGCTGTAGCATAAATACTTAGTCACTCTAAAAATACTTATCCCCATGGAACGCTTAAATTTTAATAAAATCTATTGCATATCACTGATGTTATTGTTCTGGTAAAATTCAGCAATCAAGATCATGGCAATATATGTATGCTACTGTAAAGGTAGCTGTTATGCTGTGTGTTAAAATGGTTCATAGTTTACTGCATCCTTTTTGTTGAAGTATTGAAACAAACCTACTGAATGCACAATGGATTTGTGTTATTTCTGAAAGGCAGTTACAGCGCAACAGAAGGAGTGGGATACCTGATGTAGTACAGAACAGCATGTGTTTTATGCTTCATCGTGTGGATTTTTTAAGAAGAAAAGTCTTGCATCAGGTTGACAAAAAAAATGAATGTTTGCAGCTGGGTCCAATTTTAAATTTTGACTTCAAGGATTAATTGCTCGGAGTTTGTGCTAGGAGAGTAACATTGGTATGGACTTGCCAAGCAATCATTCTGCTGTAGGTGGAGTGTTTTTGGTTTACCTTCCAGTATAAGTATGCAAAAGAAAACTTGCAACTTTCATCGGTCTTCCTCTAAAAACAAAAACAACTTCTATTACCGCCCGGATTTAAGGCGGATCAATGGTTGTGTCCGAGTATTTTTGAGTCCACTGCTCTGCAATTATCTGGTAGAGCACTACAGATAAACTCTAAAATTACATAGTAAATCACCACTAGTTGAATTGCTTTGGATATATATCTGACTATACACCAGGTCAAAATGAGTTGTTCGTTTTTATGTGCGGTAAACATACAGATCATTTGACTTTTAGTGTACGCTTTCTAAATTACTGAGGAAATAATCCATGGGCTGGAAAAGGAAACAATATGGGGGCAGTTTTTGGCTGATTTTTGTTGTTCAGTGTAAAACTAGTATTTTAACATTTTGTTCCATATTTTTAGTGGTGATTTAAATGTATTTTTGTTGTTGTTAATAAAAAGACTCTTATTTCATTCCCTACCCCCTACATTCTAGGAGAAATAGATACAAGGTTCTCCTTCTGTGCTGCAGCAACTCTTGCACTTCTGGTAAGTCCTAAATCATTACTTGCACAAGTACAAAATCTTCTCTTTGGTACTACTGAAGTTTCTGTAGTTAATGAGCTTGGTAGAATATAAAGTGCATTAGTTGTTTTTCTGACTTGCAGGGAAAGCTGGATGCTATTGATGTGGGGAAAGCGGTAGAATTCGTTTTGTCCTGTATGAACTTTGATGGAGGATTTGGTTGTAGACCAGGTTCCGAATCACATGCAGGACAGGTGAGTTTTTCTTTATATGGAAATGTCTTAAATTAGCAAGCATCACATACTGCCTATAAATGTTTCTTTACAACATCTATCGGTGATGTCAATTGATGTACCTTTCTTGTTTCCCAAATGCCTGATTCTAGTACCTTAGTTAAAATAAAGGAGCAAATAGATAAATCTGAGAAGATGAGTAGAGACCCTGGAGGTTCTAGTCTGGGGAAAAAAAAAAAAGATCATAAGGGAACAACTTTTAGGGCTGTATTTCAATCTTCACGTAGTGATGTTGGAATAGTTAGCATGAGGATTTTTAGAGAATTTGAAATGGGTATTAGTGGACACATTGGACAAGGTCTATCACTGTGTCTGCCACAAATCATAATAAAAGATAGAGGTCAATTGTATAATATGTTTGATATTTATCAGCTGATGAACTCAAATAAACATGAGACCTGAACCTTCTCAAGCGGAGGCTTGCTTAATTTTTTGAGGAAAGTCAGTTTCAAGACGAGATGCCTAACTCAGGCATGGGAGCATAATGTTTTGTTGTAGGCACTAAAAGGTGTTTTACTAGTGACAGTGAATTCTGAAAAAATGCACAGTAAAATCTAGTCGAGAAGAGAATGCAGTGGTATAATTGGAAAAAATTGAGGGATCTTTCAAGGAAGAGAATCTCAATGACTTCTTCCAGCAGAAAATTTACATAAAAACTACCCTTCCTATTTTTATTTTTTTCATGGAAGGGATTATTGCACTTAACCTGAATTTATTAATAGAAATCAACTTCTAATAAAATATTTTAATGCTGTTGCAGTCGCCTGTTTATTTTGCATAATTATGATGAGCAATGCCATAGCCAGGATTTACCTCAGCACATGAAAATACTAAAGGTATTTTGTTGAGAAAAAGGTGTTGGGTTTTTTCTCCCTTCCCCCCCCATCTTTTTTTAAATCACGGGAAAAAAAAATTAAACCTGGTACACGTACCTTGTCTTACGAGTTTTATGTACAGTAGCATTGCCCATACGGTCTAAATGGCTGGACCATGTTCTAGTGTTCAAGGAAGTAAAATCAAGTAACTGAACCCACCCTGTTAGCAGCTGGCATTTCCTGGGAGGATTAGATCTGTTGTGCATGTTCATACACTCCTTAAAATGCTGTAAAGGGCGACTCCTTCGCCTGCACAGTAGTTCAAAAGTTCTCTGGGAGTATCACATTTATTTTGCATTATTCTCGGATAGGCATATCCCTGTTGATGTGTGCTTTTGTTGGGTTTTTTGTTGTCTTTTTGGGGATGTGTTTTATTAGGAAAAGGCAATTATGAGCAGGTGTCAGTTGATATCGTGGTTTCCTGCAGTTTGGCTGCGTTCTTAGTGACCGCATGAAATGTGACCAGAGTACACTGTTGCACTGTAAATGTTATTTCCCAGGAAAAAATAAACAGGGATTAATCAATGCACATATATTACATGGCACATTGAAAGTAAGCCTGACATGACTAGATGTATGTGGGATCACCAGGATAGTTAAATGATCAGGGTTAACCTGTTTCTGCTAGAGAATTCATCTGGTCTTTAGTTTGCTCTCTGCAAGCCGTGGGGTAAGAGGCACGTACAGGAACAAACCACAGGCTGGATGCAAAATTTTCATAAAGGCCATATCCAGCCTGCAGAAATCAGTTTGAGTACTCTGGCTTGAGAGTCTGTGTTCTTAAAATAAACCTGTATGGCTCTGCCTGATCTTTTAGGATCTTTTTCCAAACTCTGCGTTAGTGTCTTATATTAGTAAAATCTTACTGTTCTATAATTACATTGTGTAACTGGTACTTTTATACAAAAGCAACTGTAACAATTACATACTTTTCTAATGGAAAAGTAATACTCATTTGAAACTAAAAGGTGAAATCTGTGCTTATTTTGTATTGTGTTTGCATGACTGTATTCCTGCTTTGAGATCTTCCTGCATTTAGTCTGCTAAAGTATGCTTAGTTTTTAAATACACAAAAAATTTATGTCTGTAATTTTAGATCTATTGTTGCACAGGATTTCTGGCTATAACAGACCAGTTGCATCAAATAAATGTTGACTTGCTGGGTTGGTGGCTTTGTGAACGTCAGTTACCTTCTGGAGGTCTCAACGGGCGACCAGAGAAGGTATTAGGTGGCTTCTTTTGTTTGTACAAACCTCAATAGAGATTATTTTTTCTAAAGCTGAAGTACTTCTGGAAAATGTCATGACTTCTATGAAATATTTAGTAAACTTTTCAAAGAAGTCAGGCCTTCATTTTGATTCTTCCTTTTGTCACTAACACTTGTCATGCAGTCCTCAGCTGTGCTTAGTTTGAATCCTCAGTTCAGGAAAGTACACATACTGAAGTATGTCTTGCTGGCCACTTGAACCAGTATCCTGTTAAATCAGGGTTTGAGTATTTTCTGACATTGGGAGTGATCTCTTCTGTAGGATTTGTACAAAAATTACTGTTTTACTGGATGTAAATCCTGGGTGTAATAGTGTTTCACATCACACTAGGAAATTGTGCAACCTAGAATAATCTCCACTGGCAAATAGATAACCAACCAACGGATTTCCTGCCCCGCCCCCACCCCCAAATGAAGCCAGTTGATAAGAAGTTCTTTGTACTTACTCCTGAAAAAGGTGTTTTTGGTTTTTCTAACCTCTCCCACAGAAGGTGAAGGCGGTTTCAAAATCACATTCTTGTGGTTTTGTTTCTTGAAGAAGGGAAGAAGTTTGAAAAAGAGACTTTCCCTTGTTGAAAAAGGGAAGTCCTCTGAAAAGACACTGCATCCAGGAACTTTCTTCTCTTTTCCTCCAAAGAAACTCTTTAAGTGTTGTTTCTCTGCAACAGTATTATGACAGCACACCTAGTAATTTGCAGAATCACCAATAAAATTTGCAACGTCATGTTTAAAACAAAATCAAATAATAATCTGCTTCTCTGCTTGCCAGTTACCTGATGTATGTTACTCATGGTGGGTGCTAGCATCTCTGAAGATGATTGGTAGGTTACATTGGATTGACAGAGAGAAACTGCGCTGCTTTATTTTGGCCTGCCAGGATGAGGAGACTGGAGGATTTGCTGACAGACCAGGAGATATGGTAAATAATCCTTTACTAAATAAAATACACTTAACTGAAAATTTCAACTGGAAAAGTAAGTTTTCTCATTTGAGTGTAACTCAACTCGTGATCCAGGTGTAAGTGTTTTGCAGAGCCTGCAGTTTGAAGCAAAGGATAGGGTAGAGTTGCTTTCAAAGGCTTACTTGGGGAGCACATATTTTATATTGCACTTGCGTTGTAGTATCCCCCACTGAAGTCAGTTGCCATTCCTTACAAATTCTGGTTTGGTTCCCATAACACATACCACACAAATCGTTTCTCACAAGACCACTTGGAAGATCTCTGTAAAAATACTGTGTTTGGTGGCGGGTTTTTTGGATCTGTGGGTTTTTTGGGGGTTCGTTTTGTTTTGTAAAATGATATGCAAGCTAGAGTCCAGCGCAGGTTAAGTAGTCTTCAACTCTCTTGGTGGTTTTGCCTGATCTGAATGAGTCATAAGTTTTTATTATGAATCCTTATACGCTAACTTTTGTTCTGTGCCAGCCCAGCCACTGAATAAATCCTCTCACTGGCATTTGTCTAGGTGAGGGAGAAAGAAGCTTTTGTGATAACACTGTGAAGAGGCTGATGGTATGGGTTTTCTGCTTGGTTGAGAGAGCAATTGTGGTTTAGCTGGTCTGTTCTCTCTGGTTTCAAGCGGAAATAATTGAGATTATCCAGGTAAAATGGCAAATAAAGTTCGTATTTTTCAAGGGTGCTAGAGAGATAAAATTAAAAATATTATGAGACCTCAGTGCAATTCCTATAGAACACTTGCTGTTAAATTATTTGTCAACGGTCGGGGGAAGTCTTAGTTGTTTTTATTACAGCTGACCATGTCTTCTCCTTTCTCCACAAATGCATTAAAAACTGAAGTAGCTTTGTATTTCTTTGCAAGCTGATACATTATTCCCACTTGGGGGAGGGGGAGAAATCTCTTTACTCAGGTCTGTCATTTGGAAAGTGTTTTGCTGTTCTTAAAATGGGAAGGTTTTTGTATTTCTAAGGAGCTCACAGAAAGACTTTTTCCCTTTTCAGAATTCTCCAAGAAAAAAAGCCTAACACTTAACATCTTGATGCTTTTCTGGCTTCGAGATTAAACTTGAGCTATTTCTGTCTTGCTAGAAGAGCAACTTTGCTGAGCCTTTCCTCTATATCTAATGCAGGCACCTTTGGGAGAGTTTTTGCATATTATGTTAGAGGTCATTTCATATTATTTTTACCTGTCATCCATTATTGAAGTGGGCGCTGCCACAGAAGTGTTGACGGCTACGGGTTTTTGCTTTGTTCCTGCAGAAACTCATTCCTAACAGACCCTGGTTTTTGGTTGGGGTTTTTTTGTAGGTTTTTTTGTTTGTTGGTTTGGGCTTTTTTGTTTGTTTGTTTTGTGTTTGGGGGGGTGGGTTTTGGGGGCATTGGGGTTTTGTTTGTTTTTTTTTTTTTAATTCTAGGTTCTAGTCTTTTGATTTGACATTGCAATTGTATTTCAGGTTTTGAACCACTTGACAGTAAGACAGCTCTGTCATCTTAAGTTCCAAGCAACTAGTTCTCGGTAACTTAAATTAGTAGCTGTGCCTATTAGCTCTTAGTTGTAATTCAGCAGGTTTTTCCTTTTTTATTTGCTTTTAAAAAAATTGCAGAAAGGAGCAGACAACATAGCAGTAGATACATCTTCTAGGAATCTGTGTTTCCCTGAACACTGTTCATCAAGAGGTTGAATCTGTAACTTCATTTGCACACTTCCCATTAGGGACTGTCTCCCCTTCTAGGCCTGTCCATCTGTACAAGGAAATTCTGTCTTGCCATTCCTAAAGTGTACTGTTTATTATTATTTTGCTACGTACTTACTTATTTTACCCCTCCTCTAATGGCCACATACTCATTCTGGGAAGAAGCAAGTAAACATATGTCTGAGCTTTCACCACACCTGTAATGTGATTGCCAAACCATTGAGGAGCAAGACTCATTATGCTAGTGTAATTTGAACCGTCTAGGCTGTGATCAATGTTTGGAGATCCTGTATATGGCTGTAACATGGTAATTCAGCTTAGTTTACTGCAGTATAGAACCTTTGCGATGAGATCAGAATTTCCACTAATGCAAACAGGATGTACGCTACACCAGACAGCACAGGTACTTTTGGATAGGATTTTGTAGAATGGCTAATTAACTCCGCTGACGGGCATGAGACTTTATAGTCTATTGCAGTTATGTGGTGATACATGCTTTTCGGGAAGGTTCATACAGTGAAGGAATACTTGGACATTAAGTAACTGCTCCTGTCTCTTCTGGGTTTTTTCTTCCTTGTATTTTTTCCTTTCAGTTTTCTAGCACAGTATGTTGCTGCTCCCCTCTCAAGATTTTATAGCACAGCTCTTAAAGAGCATTACAGTGTTGCTGAAGAGCAAATGGGGAATTTATGGTACTTGTAGACGATCAAAGTTACTTTTAAAATTTTTATTATCTTTGCTTCTGCTACTGTATGACATTGTGTGCTAATGAATACATGTAAGTGCTTCCTGCCAGACTCAGAGTTGAAAATCGTCTTAGCAGCAGACAATCAGTAAGCATCTCTGAGTAAATCATATACTGTAAATGCATGCTGTGGAAACTGTCTTGCCTGTCAACACGTCAGCACAAATTGAAGTTTGTTCAGTTGCATTGTCTTCTCCAGCCATGGAGATTTGCAATTCTTTTGCTAGCAAACAAAAGCTTCATTCCATACAAATGAAAAGCTGATTGATTTTTGGAAACGGACACAAACTTTCTTTCTTCTCCCAGGTGGATCCATTTCACACCTTATTTGGAATTGCTGGACTATCTTTATTAGGAGAAGAACAAATTAAGGCTGTTAATCCTGTCTTTTGTATGCCAGAAGATGTCCTTCGAAGAATAAATGTACAGCCTGAGCTTGTGAGCTAAGCCTTGTAGAGACAAAAGGTTGATATGCCTAGTTGCTTTGGTTTTACTGATTTAAGTCATCTCATCTCTAAAACTGTTAGCATATTCTTCTTTACATTGCGGAAGTAAAGCAATAGCTTTACTGTGGGCTTTGTCACTTTGTAAACTGTATCAGAACAGGCTAGTTCTAATAATCTGAGTGTAACGTGTTCTTTGGTTGTATATAAGAGATGTAGAAGCATTTCTAATCTGTACCTAAATATACGGGCCTTTGCATTTTTTTTGAATATTCAAGTCAAAGCGATAGTGTGAATGCTTAATTTTTGTATTCGTGTGATATCAGCCATGCTAGCATCTATCTTTACACAAGCATGTTTTGATGGTGGATCACACAAAGCACTTTAAAAGAATATGGAAAAAAAAAAAAAACCCCAAACAAAACCCTACTTAAGCCATGCACTTAATGCCACAGGCTTGTGTGTTTAATTTGTCCTGTTCATGTTTGCCATCACTTTTATATACTGAGAAACAAGCTTTTTCTTCTGATAGTAATTGATACCCGTGAAAACAAAAATTATGTTTCCATTAAGTATGTAAATGTCTTCATTTATTGATGAGTCCTTTAGACAAAATTTTGCCGATATTGAAATAGAGCGTACCTTGAGTATATATAGTGAAACTTGCTACCATTAAGCATTCTAGAGGTCTCTGTACGACAGTGACTTGTAACTGAATAGAGTTGATCCTAAATTTGTTGCTGGGTTGAAATCTTGCTTTCGTAGCTTTTAAGACAGTAATTGCCAACACTTGATTATGGTGTAATTGAGAATAAAACTAGCTGTGGAAAATACTTGTCCTCTGAAGGATGAAGCCCTCTTTGTCTTCACAGAAGCCCTAAAATTGCCTCTTAATTTACATTCCACACACCCTGGCTGAGACTGAATGCTATTCCAGTTGAAATACACAGTAAAAGGTAATTGTGAAGGGGAGGAAGTCTTTGATAATCTCTGTACTTAGGAAGGTATAAAGTTGTTTCAAACAGTTTTAAAAGCCAGTTGGTTAGTTTTATCCAGCCTATTCATGTTAGTAGAGAGTAAGATAGAAGTGGACGAAGTAATTTTTTGGCAGACCTTGTAGAGAATTTCAAAGAGAGAATGTGTATTTGAATGCTCAAATATTTCTAATGAATTTTTAAGCCTTCTCTACAGGCTTTTAGATAAAGTAAAAACCCTACTCCTTTTAGCTGTCCAGTTGCCTGATGAATTCTTTGGTCAAAGCCTGGAATTAATATATTTTTCAAGGTTTGGAAAAAAGTTGCAGTAGGCTTTGTGTTGAGTGCAAGGGAATGAGACTACTGATCAGGTTTTATCTAACTGCAAAGTTTAACAGAAAATTTTAAAATAAATCTTCCTCATTCCAGGTTACCTTTGCAAGTGCTACTTCTTTTCATCTAAGGAAACACTGTTCAGTACATAGGAATTTGCCATTTTTTCCATATTGTGTAGGCAAAATAGAATCCTCTTCAGAATTTCTAGTCTAGTATAGACTGAGACACCCTGGGAATTAATATGTGGGTGATACTGCATGACAGTGTAGAATATTTCACTGTAGGTTGAAATCCTATTAATACTATTGGAGTTTTTCTCTGAAGAAGGTCTGGTCAACTTCATTTCCTAAGTCTGCTGTGATTTGTAAACATCTTACCAGATTATAGGTTAAAAAAGGAGTGAATATGTGCACAAACTAAAAACTTCTTAAGAATATTCTTCCATTCTCTACATCATTTTTTTTAAATACTGTATTTGTGGAAAGAGAATCATCACAATTTTTCTTACGCAAACAAAATCACATTTTCTGTTAAATGTACTGTGAAAAAAAAAATTAGTTGCCCAGTGTGTCTATGTCAAGATTTATGTCATTTTGGTGCAGAATACATTGTTACCGTCTACCTCTATTTTGTTAAAAGTACTGGTAAGATTTTTTTTCTGAGCTTATGTGGTTAGAAACTTTGCAGTAATTAATCTACTGTTCTCAGTCTTCAGTTACAGGTCCTTTATTAAAGGCTTTCAGAAATTTGTACTTTAACTTTTTTTCCCATGGAAATCTTTATATGGAAAGATCCTGACATTATCTTAGTACTTGATCTTAAGTACTATAGTGTAGCTAACCTTCCTAGCAATAAATTTTGCAAGATGCTGTATGGGAATATGTGAAAGAATGATGAATAATTCGGGTACATAAAATTGTGTGTCTGTAGATAGTTTATTAAAAGAACATCTCTGTGTGTGTGTGGAAATCAACAGCCATTCTATTTCCTTCTAAGAACATGGCTGAGTCCAGAGGTGTGTGCTTTATTCCAAAGATGCTTCCTTTCAGTTTTGTTGAGACAGCTTGGTTAGGCAAATTCAGCCTTATGATTTGTGACCGTAAGAAAGGAAGGAAGGTGGAAGATGGACATTCCTTTCGTTTCTGCTTTTCTTGCCATACACTTGGATTTCTCTCAGAGAAGAGAAGGTCTTAACACCAGCTTCAGGAATCTGAATGCATATGGAAAGTTCAAGGTAGGACTTGAAATTCAGGACAGTGGCAGTAACTGGAACTGGCACCTGCTGTCTTCCGTCCTTTGCTCTGCAGTGAAACTGAAGTTTCTGATGCTCAAATCTTTAAAGTTGTCTGATGATGCTCAGTGCTGAGAGAGCACATTCCTGTTCTGAACTGGGAGGCTGGGGCAATGCCTTTCAGATGTGAGCTGAGGAGCCGCAATTGATAGAATTTCTATTGTGAAGCTGAATAGCCATCGAACTACAACTGTCCACAAAGCGCTGTGGCCTAGTGAAGGCTGGCTTCAGGTCAGAGCATTTTTTAGTGCAGGTGTGTTAAGTTCCAGAGACAAAATGTTGTTTAGTCAAAATGTTAATTGAAACAGTTTTAGTGTTACAGTGTTCTAAAACGTGCATCGAAGCACATATATTTGAGACAATTCTAGATGTAAACAAGCTTTATGGTTTTTATTGGGATCTTTTGGTATCTGATCTCTTGAGCAGGGGGAAACCATCTGTGAAGCTCGTGCTAAAAGAGTCTCTGAATGTTGAAGAATGAATGTGGGACAAATTATGTTTAAATGCTTTACTCCTGTTTTAAAGAGCATAGCAGACTATTTCTTTGCCTTCCTGCGTCACCCTTATATTGTCTGTAGTTGCATATTTAAAATGAAACTTGTTGCATGCCCAGCAACTATATTTACTATTGTATCATTTATAGCTGTACTAGTAACTGCAGCTTTACAATTTTTTGTCTTTACCAACAGAACCCCCTCTCGGCAGGGGCGGGGGGGTGGAGGGGCGGCCCTCTGCCGTCGTCTCGGCACCGGGCGGGAGGGAGCGGAGCGGGGGCCGCTTCCGCCATCTCGTCACGAGCGGCAGCCTACCGGGGCTCGGTGCTGAGCAGTCGCGGGGATTGGGGGCGG